CCAAAAAGGTTGCCCATCACTGGCCTAGGGCCTCTTTTCATCTAAATCCGGCCCTGCTTGGCCTCCACCTCTGGCTCCAGCCTACCTCAAAGTTGTTGTTGATCTTAATCCAGCCGGAAGGCTCCGTGCTCTGCGCAGAGATACGCCTTTGATAAACCTGTTCCAAGAGGTTGATGTGCTTCTGGTTGAAGGGCTTCCACCGTTGCTTTGGTTTCAGTTCCCAGACGATGCCTGAACTGCAAAAAAGAAAGGGAGAATCAGATGCCAAATCCTTAGAGGCAAATACACTGCACGCCGTGAAAGGAAACACCTCTTAATTATTTAATTTCTAAACTGGTGATGCTGCTGCTGCTTCTCTGCGATGTGACCGAGACCGAATGCCACTTAGGAGTCAAAGAAAAACCTCCGTCAAATCCATCTTCAGCAGCTTTTTCTTTTTTTTATATTAAAAGACTCCAAAACGGGCATTTGATTAGAGAAATACGACCAACTAAAGCTTTGCACCAAAAGCGTTACCTGCAACCTCTCCCAACGACCAACCTTACCTGGTGATGCCTATGTAAGAGATCTCCTGCTTCCGGGTGTTGTTGACCAGGGAAAGGCCAAGGCCCTGAAGAGCGATGTTTATTTCCTGGTCAGGCTGCTCCATCTCCTCGGCCTGCCTGGCTTTGGACACCAAAGCCACATCCTCCGTGAACAGCAGGACCCTCTGCCTCCCGTCCAGGAAAGAGACCCAGTGGATGGGGGTGTTGGCGTTGTACGGAAACTGCCCACACTCGTCCTGAATTGGCAAGGGAAGAAGAAGAGGAGGCAAGGAGAAGGATGGTAAGCAGCAAAATGGGAACCCTTTGCATACGCTTCTGTTAAAGTAGTGAATCCTTTAAAAGGTTCCCCTTGCACACGTGCGCTAGTCGTTCCCGACTCTAGGGGGCGATGGTGCTCATCTCCGTTTCAAAGCCGAAGAGCCGGTGCTGTCCGAAGACGTCTCCGTGGTCATGTGGCCGGCATTACTCAACACCAAAGGCTCATGGAACGCTGTTACCTTCCCACCAAAGGTGGTTCCTATTTTTCTACTTGCATTTTTTAACGTGCTTTTGAACTGCTAGGGTGGCAGAAGCTGGGGCAAGTCGCGGGAGCTCACTCTGTTATGCGGCGCTAGGGATTCGAACCGCCAAACTGCCGACCTTGAGATTGAGTGCATGATGTGGTTTTTAATTTGTTTTTCTCTGGTTTTTATTTTAAATTCTTTATTATTTTTTTAAAATGTATTTTCTGTAAGCCTCCCGGAGTCCTTCGGGATTGGGCGGCCTATAAATTGATTAAATACTAATACTAATAACCTTTCTGATCGAAAAGCTCAGCGTCTTAGCCACTCAGCCACCGCGTCCCTCAGCGAATCCTTTAATTTAGCTTTAAAAATAGTCTTTGGCTGATTAGCAAGGAAAAAGGATTGAAGAAAGTAGCATAAATATTGCTGAAAAGGGGTTGCTAGGCTCCAAAATAATCAGCTGCCCAAATGAATATGTTGAGCAGGAGGCTTTTGGGTTCAAAAATTAAACGCTATTTCCAGCAGCAGGGGGGGGGGGGAAGAGAGGGGAGGGAGGGGCATACAAAGACTGAGACTGCTAGATTGACAGGTTCTTTTTAAAGATACAGATTACCTTGAGAAGATCCAGTTCACCCGTGTTTTGTGCATAGTTCCAACTTAATTTTCTCATCCCTGTAGGATCTTCCCACACGAACAGTCTAACTTCCTTCGGCTTCAGCTCCATCACTTCCTGCAGGCCGCTGCATGGATGAAAAAACACCAGTGGGAAACCCCTGGGATGCCCCCCCGCTCTCCAAGAGCAGCGCCTCTCGCTCAAGACACGGGCACCTCCCCACACCTACCTCTGCTGGTACTTCAGAGTCGCCCACGAAGTCTGGTTGATGACCAACGCAGGGGCAGCCCCCTCATAATAATCGGAGACGTTGATAACGATGGAATGCTCGGCCAGGCTGACGTTCACCAGGACACCCGTGTTCTGTGGGGAGGAAGAGAAGTGACGGCCTGCAATTTCACTGCAGCTACAGAAGCGGCCCTTCCCCGTGACTCCCACCTGCAAAGTCAGGGGGAGAGGCACAGCCAGGGACCCAGGTGGCTTTCAGAGCCTTAAAAGAGAAGAACAAGCTTAATCTGCCGTCTTACCATTTTTTCCAGGCTCAGCAAGGTCCCGTTGTCCTGTCGGTTGTAGAAGAAGGGCTTGGAAAATTGTTCGGAGCCGCTGGCTCTGATGCAGAGCTTGCCAGAGGGACTTTCAGGCCAAAATGCAACACACTAGCAGGCGAAAAGAGAACAGGGGGTAGATAAAAGAAATAAGTAGGCCAACTGCTTTGATTAATGTCTTGTCAGAAGTTGGAGTCGGCACGTTCTCCAACCCGGCGCTCTCTGGAGATTCCACATTAGCTGTAGAGGAAGGTTGTGAAGTTTGGTGATCCATTATTTACCACGTTGAGCTCCCTCTGGATGTGCTGCTTTAGTGCTCCAACACAGTGTTTCTCAACCTTGGCAACTTGAAGATGTCAGGACTTCAACTCCCAGAATTCCCCAGCCAGCGAATGCTGGCTG